TATATGACATAAAGGATGATGCACAGATAAGTACAAGGATAACTGAGCTAATGGCTTTGATGGAAGGTCCTTGGTGCCAGGTGACCATGTTAGAGGGGCATTGGGTGTAGTATGGGCAGTGGTGGTAGTAGCATGGAAGGCCTTTCTGGGAAGCTTACTCTGCTGGAACTTGGTGGGGAGGGTGACATGGTGGGTATTGTCCCAGGTACAAGGACAAGTGCACAAAGACCCTGGAGGGAGTGTTGCATGCTAGGCTGGAGGAGCTCAAGGTGACTCAGTGTGACTGAAGAGCAGATAGCACAAGGCTCTCAAGTCTAGTGTCAGTGGTTCCTGAAGCTGCCCTGGGCACTGGTGTCTGGTAGACTCTTATGTGTTCCACCCACCAACCACATTGCTTCCAACACTCACTTCCCCATATGATTGCTGCGAGTCCTGGGACCACTCAACTAGCCTCACTTAATTGCCTGATGCTTGAAATGGCAGGGTCCCAACTGCCACTGTACCATTGACCTCCAGGATATCTGATTCCTCAGAGTGCTGTGCTGTGCTGAGCTGATCTGCCTGCATATCCTGGATCACTGAGGACTTTGTTAAGTAATGTTCATTGCCATGGTCTCTGATCTTTCTCAGGCAGGAAGAGTTCATTCCCTTATCACTACCACTTTTTGCCTGGAGAAAATCTTAAGCCTGTTTCTGAAAACCCACTGCAGCCCCATGAAGGCATCTTCCGTCCTCTTTCTCAATGTACTTCAATCAACAAATGAGTGAATACACACTTATTGAGCACCTGTTGTGTGCCCTCCCTTGTGCTCAGGGCTTTCACCCACTTAGTTTTTAGACACCCTTGTAAGGCAGAGGTTATGTTCAGTTCTATAAGAATCAGAGGCTCTTATAGGGCTGAGGTTAACCTCATGAGGGCTGAGGTTAATCAGAGAGGAAGGGAGAGGCAAAAAGAAGGTCGCAAAATATCAAACCCATATGTCAAGACTTCTGACTCTATGTCCAGTCCCCCACCCCACAAATTGATAAATAAGCTGGTTTTAGATGGCTCAGGGTTGGAGGGAGGGAGATGAGGCAATTTAATAACATGATGGGAAAGTTTTTTTCTTTTCAGTTCTCTCTCAAACATCCCGATCAATCAAGTAGAAAACATGTTTGGTGTCCAAATGGCTTTAGCACATGTTGAAGGTTTGCTAACTCCCTTAACAAAGAGAGCTGGTCTCTGGCTTGGCACTTTCAACATTCAACAGTCTCTAACAAGAATTTAATAAAATTATTTTTATTTCATCCTCTATATTTGGAACATAATTGGTTTTCTTTGTGGTGGTATTATAAAGTTGCCTTTTAAGGAAGAAAATTATAGGAAAAATAAAGAAAAATATTGACTAAATTATAGGTCTGGTATGTGGATATAATAATGATAAAAACATGAATGTGTATTCATCCAAATGAGCTGGGAAGTGTCCTGTTCATTCACTCTGCTTCCCTTGCTCCCAGGACACGTGATGTGTCACCATTATGGCCCTAAATTCTGAATCTGTTCTTTGTTTTCCTGGAAAACATATAGAAGAGGTTGTTACAAAAACTATCCCTATCATTAGGACCATTGAGGTATCAATCTTCTTTTTAAAAAATATATTTTTATTGATTTCAGAGAGGAAGGGAGAGGGAGAGAGAGATAGAAACATCCATGATAAGAGAGAGAATCATTGATTGGCTGCCTCCTGCACACCCCACACCAGGGACCAAGCCCACAACAGGGACATGTGCCCTGATTGGCAATCGAACTATAACTTTCTGGTTCATAGATCGATGCTCAGCCACTGAGCCATGCCGGCTGGGCAGGGATCATCCTTCTTAAGTTTAAATCAACCCAAGCTAGTAATGGAGTCTTAAAACCTAGGAAAAATATGTAAGTTTATTGCAAAAGATAATATCCCATTTAAAATAGTTTAGAAATTTACAAAAACTTACATTATACATTGTTTTTAAGAAGGGGCTCTACAGATGAGCTGGTATTAAGTTCCAAGTATAGCGGGTACACATTTTTTCTTAACTACAGAGAAAGCAGCTACATAAACTCCAGCAATTTAAGTTGATGTATCAGTCTTTTCCCCTTCAATTTTATAAAAGTAATCTTGGCTAAATTAATCTCTCTCTGTAAAACCATATAACCTCAAGTACAGCATTTTTGCAGATTATCATGGTAGATGTTACATAATATTTTACAAAGACATGATTTTCACATGAGTAGATAGGTATAGAGTTTTGGTCTATGTATATGTGTGGGTGTTGTTGTTTTTTAAAAAAAACAGAGATGATCATTTTTATTAGCAGGAAGGTGTTTACTGAATCCCTTTCCCTCATAATGATTTTAAATGTTCAATTTCCAGAAGAGACCTCCTTCCCAGTTTCAGGTTGGCGGCCCCAGCAATGCTGTGTTGTGCTTTGGTATAGATTCATTGCAGTCCCATTTGGTTATATTTTTAGAAATGTCAACATTTCCTACCCCAATTTCATTTTTCAGTTGAAGGTTTATCTGATATCTCCAACTAAACATAAGTATATAAGAATGTGCGCTTTTTAATTACCCAAGGGTTGGGTTCTACTCTGAGAGAATGGCCTTAAACACCTCTTCATCAATCTGGACTAAGTTTAGCAAATGAACCAGCTCAGCTCTGGGTCATTCTGCTCATTTGATATTGGACCATGCACAGAGCTTATAAAGTGGGTCGAGTAGGTGTTGATATCTCCATTTCAGAATGGACAAACAGGCCCTGACATTTTAAGCAGTTTGTTAAAGGATAGTGGACTAGGCTAATTCCCAAAACAGGATTATTTTCATGCTGCCCAAGATTATAAATTAATTTGAAAATTAGTGTAAGCAAAGCGAATTAAGATGGAAGCTCTACTACAAGATAAAATTACATAAGAGATCCCACATGATTTTTCTTTATTGGGTTATCCTCGATGCTGTTCTTTTCCATTGTTGGGGCCAACTGAGAGTTGATTGTGTGGATACAGAAAGATCTGTGGCTTTCAGCCAGTGGGAGCATATCTTATTGAAATGTGGCTTCCTCCGTATGACAAGTGTATTTATCTTAATTCCCACTTAACATTATGGATGCCGGTCTCACTTTCTGGGTTTAAACATTACACTAGAAACAGAACAAGAACATCTCGAATGACATTCCAAGACTTAAATAGTGCAAGCTGAGGTTCCTTGCCAAATTTTCCCTTCACTCTCGCTGAAAGAGCTTGCACACTGCAGCGCTGTGGCAGGAGCAGGTGCAGCTGTCGGAGTGGTTTGCTTCATTCGTCTCAATTTGCAGTGGGGGTACGTTCATCCCAGACTCTAACTCAGACACCTGATCTTGAGCAAAGGGGAGTATGAATGCCTTCTTCATTGAATGCCATGTTGAGCTTTAGGATCCCTTTTCTAAGCAGCATCCACCCGAGCACAGGCTGGTAGAGAATTTAACAAGAACACACCCCTCATCCCCCAAAGTATGTAGAAGTTACTTAATTATATTATGTTAGTACTTTGTTCAGCCATGCAAGTTTGACTGGACCCACATGTATAGGGGTCTTGTCAAAAGAATGAGCCAGACTTTAAAAGAATTCAGACTTTGGGAAGGGAAGGTCTTTAATACTAAAATGGAAAAAAAGATATATCCCTCCTCCTGGTGCTTCTTCAATCAGGTGATCATTGAAGGGATCACCAGGAAGGGAGATTATGTAGATTAATATACTTAACAACCTATCTACAAAGCTATTGCAGGGATGAATGGGTGAGAACCAGTGTTGTGTTTTATCTTAGTCTTATTTATGTTACTGGTCAGATGAAACAGACAGGTTGCTGGATCTCATGGTGGCCTAAGAAGCATGGTGGCCTAAGGTGGGCCCAGGAGCTACAACTGCAGGAGAGCCACACCAAGTTCCTTACCCCCTGCAGTGACCTTACTCTGCCACAGACTGGAAGGCCCCCGCAGCATGAGATGACAGATTCTTAATTTGGGGTCAAGTGGCTATTTTAAAATGAAAATGACCCAGCCCACCAGGCGCTCTTGCATTTTTTCCCTGCACATATCTGTCATGCTATGTATGCCAATATCTTAGAAAACGGCCAGTGTATGTAACTGATCTTTCCTGGTGTATTAGTTTCTGGCTCTCCTCTAACTTCCTGCTCTACATAACATTTCTTTTTTCTTTTTTTTTTTTTTTTCGGATGACAAACCAAGGATGAGAAGGAAGTGCTTAGCATCATAGAGGTGTTGGAGAGTCAGTGGGGACTTTGTTCAGGGTGGGAACCTAGACTCGCAAACCAGGATTGTGGCCTAGTCGTGCGTGATGGGGAACTAGGCAAGTGGTCACTCTAGGGTCCGTGAAGCCCTCAGCAAACAGTGGCACTCATTCAGGTGAGGTTGGTGGTCAGGGGTCCCGCAGCAGCTAAACCAGCCCCGAGTCTTTCCGGTTTTGCAGATTGAGTGGCTCTCGGTCTGGGACCTTTGCTAAGAAGCAGAGAAGACCTGAGGGCAGTGGTTCCCATCGCAGGGAGGTCCCAACAAGCTCAGATCCACCAGAAGCATTTCTTCTTCACCTTCTTGGTTTTCCGCCTTAAGTCCTGTTTCTCAGGAACAGGGGGTTCTGCTGTGGACTTTGGTGGGGGACATGGCTCCTCAACTGGTTCTGCTTCCTCCAGACTCTGTAGAACTTCATGGAACCTGCCTTCCTGCTGCCGAAAATCATATTCTACACTGAAAAACACAGGACAAGGAAGGACAGTAAAGTCGAGTCAGCACATATGGCTTTAGCATCACCAAGGGCCCAACTGATATGGAAGAGCATGGCCTTTGACATCTGGTCTCAGATGCTTAGGTACCTACTGGCTATATGACCTTGGAAAAATTGTTCCATCTCCCATCCATCCATCCATCCATCCACTCATCCATCCATCCATCCAATCATCCATCCAACCATCCATCCTTCTCATGGCTCAACACTGTGCTCAGTTATGGGACAAGACAGACAGACAGACATGGACACTGCTCTTGTGGATCTTACTTCTCAGTGTGTGAGACAGATGGTTAAACTAACAATTGCTTTTAAAATATGCCTTGTATCTATCTCAACTATGCCTACTTTCCTGCTCTTTATCCATACACCTCTACCAAATAATAAAAGCATACACAAAAACCAGCTATCTGCTTCTCCTTATATGTGACATTTCTCTGCCTTCATAATTTGAACAAACAATGGCAACAACAAACCACCTGAATTTGTCAAGACTCACAGCAGTGTCCTAATACCAATTGGAGAAAAGAATGCTGTGGGTGAATCCAGCATGTGGACAGAACTGGCAGGCCTGGGGAGAGAAGAGCCAGGAGACAGAATGAAACTGTCTCATCATCACGATTTAAAGAGCAGCCCAGTATAGGGGATAGAACAAGAGCTTCGAGTGGAACACTCCCAAGTTTGAACAAGGTTATACCACTCACCGGCTAGGTGACCTTGGACAAGTTGCTTCTCTTTCAGAGACTCAGTTGAAAGTGGGGGTTATAAAGCTCTCTCACTGGACAGTTTACAGATGGGACACAATGACAGGTGAAATGTCTTCACGTAGGATATGGTCTCTGCCCACTCCACTCTTCACTAAGTCTTTTGTCTTCCTATCTTAATGGGCTGAATGTCTCTTCACTCATACCTGAAGCTCTTCAGTAATTGTATACCTTGCCAGCATTATCACTCTTCACCCCTCCCTTCCATGTACATTCAGGAAAGAATACATTCTATGTTTCTATGGAAACACCACAGGATTGCCTTATAATCATTGGGACTTAGAGCTCTCCCCCACCCCTCTTGCAACTGCCCCCACTGATTTTGACAATTGGAAGGAGATTGAAAGTAACTTCTTTTCAAGGCCAGGCAAAAAGCAGAGCAGAGAGAAGTGTGTGAACTTAGGAAAGAAATTGATTAATGTTTTTTTTTTTAGGCCAAAGCAATTTATTAACATAAAGGAAAATTGTCATTTTCCTTCTTATTCTTGACAAACTATTCTTTAGTTTGGATGAATGTATAGGGTCTCATCTCTTTTCATCTTGTCGCTGGATAGAGGAAAGGAGATACCCTTCAACTTCCTTTTTAGCCAACTCGCACCATATTCAGCGACCTCTTGATAAGGGGAATAAATTGTCTACATGGTAAGAAGTCAAGGAGAGGGTTGTTTGTAGATTCTAGGGAATGCCATCTGCCTTGGGTTTGATATCAAGGTGAACACCAGTGACATTTTAAACCTTGCTCCCCCTTCTCTTCTTCTTTTAATTTCCCTCCCAGCCCACCCTTACCATCTCCTGGCACCCATATTCTGTACAGATGAAGAGGAGTGCCGAGGGCTTAGTTTGCAGAGCTCTGGCTCACAGTGGGGGCCAAGAAATTGGTACAGTACAGAATTCAGGCCTGGGTCCATTGAGGTCGTGTGGAGCAGTCGAGGTCAGCACGGTTGGTCCAGTGAGGAATATCTGACACCCGGTTCAGGCTGCCCCAGTCATTGTCTAAGGGAGCCTTGGGGCCCTGCCCTTGTAATCTGTCTGGGTGTGTTACTGCATTGCTTTGGAAAGTGAGCTGTCTGTCTGTCAGGAATGGGAGAGAACTTTCAGGTCTCCTTTGGGAGAGCACCTCACTAATCCAGCTCACAGATCAATGCCCCAGCCACCAGGCCAGGTGAAAAGCACGGGGATATTTTTCTAGGAAATGGGAAGCAGTGGGAAGCCTAAGTCATAACTTGTTGGGAAGAAGAAATAGTGAGAAGCAAACAGTAGATGGATACATTAGTACATGAGCAGACAATAGAGCCTGGCAGCAGTTTGGCTGGGCAAATCGAAGTTAGGTATGCCAGAAAGGGATGCAAGCTTATATAGAAACAGATGAATAATAGAAACCCCTTACTTTTGAGTAGCACTTGCAAATTGCAGACCCTTCAGATCTGTGTTTTCGTTTTATCCTCATGATAGCCCAGGAAAATGGGAAAATTGTCCCTATTGACAAACAAGTTGGCATGGAGAAGTCACACTGTAAGTTATGAACAGAATATAAGCCTGGTTTCCAGACTCTTAGTCCTTTGTTTTTCCTAAAGAGCGATGAGATGTTTTAGCCCAGGGCCTGGCTACTACCCATGGGCTTAATCTAAGAATAAGAAATAACAGAAGAATACCTGGACCATGTTAGGTGAGGATGCATGGCAATTCAAATTAATAATAATAAAAAGAAGGAGATGAAGGAGGGGGAAGAGGGATGGTGAAAGGAAAAGGAGGAGAAGAAGGAGAAGGAGAAGGAGGGAGAGGTAGAGGAAGAGGAGGACTGTCATTCGTGCAGTGAAATCTATATTGTAGACTCTGCACTGCAAGTTTAGTGATGCCCACATGCCTCATATAATTCTCATGGCCCCCTTAGATAGATACTATCTTCGTTCCATAAATGAGGAAACCGAGGCAAGGGCGGGTTATGGCCACACACTAGTAAACGACAGAGCCAGGATTTGAACCGACACTGACCCTGAAGCTGGTGCACTAAAACAGACTGGACTGAGATCCTGGCAGTCAAATGTGTGTGGGGTGGGCGTGCCGAGGTGGTGGTGACCAAGGCCTGGTGCATGAATGCCCAGTCCACTGTGGAACCAGCCTACCCTGCAATGGTGTTTCCAGATTGCAGGGCAATGCTGGTGGGAAACTGCGTACGCAGAGAAGATGGGCACCCCCTTAGCAGGCAGCAAACTCAAAGTAATACGTGGGCTCAGCCGTCATATTTGTCTTCGGCATGGTTGGCTGCTGAGGGCTGCAGGGGGCCCTGTGCCCTTCTTTCTTAGCAGGGGGCAGGGCTGGTCTTTTATTAAAGAGAAAAGGACAACTCCCTGCCACACACCACACACTCCATGCAGGTTGGCTGAGAAACGAATGGTCCACGACACCTCCCTGAAGGTGGAGCATCCTCCAGGTCCCTCTCTACCTCCTCCCTCTGCGAGGCTTTCTGTGGCTCCTGGCACACAGAGCTGGTGACCACAGGCTTAGGGACCTCCCACAAGTTTCTTCTCTAAAGAATGAGCCAATGGCATCAGTGAGCTCAGCAAGGGCAGTTTGGTTCCAATCTCCTTGGATAATCAAGTCACTTTCTTTGGGGAAGGATCCCAGCCTTGGAACATAGGAGCTTTAGTTAGTCTCATTGCCTCCCCTCACCCCCCCGCCCCCCCACTCCCCCGTTCCGAACCTTTCTCCTAATGACCAGTTTGCTTGTTATTTATAGGGTGTAATTTTAAGCTTCACAACTTGCAGCCATTTCAAGTTGGCAAGGGCACCCCTTCCCCTAGGGCAGTGGTCGGCAAACAGCAGCTTGCAAGACACATGCGGCTCTTTGGCCCCTTAAGTGTGTGTAGCTTTTCCACAAAATACCGACTTCTGCGCATGGGCCATGAAGTTTCAATCACACTGTACATGTGTGCCCGCACGTGGTATTTTGTGGAAGAGCCACACTCAAGGGGCCAAAGAGCTGCATGTGGCTCGCTCGCCGCAGTTTGCCGACCACGGCCCTAGGGCATGTGTCTGCTGAAGAGTCCTCAGGGAGTCGCAGGTTCTCCTCTGGACACTTGAACACAAGCTGCAAAAATCATCACGCTGATTGCTAATTGAGAGAACCCTGCGCTCTGGGTTCTGTGGCTGTGGGACAAGGAGGTCTTCCTGCTAAGCCCTCAGCAAGGACAGGTTCGCTCAGAGAACTTGAGCACATATATTCAGTGATTATGCCAGGTCCCAGGTAAGAGGGGAAGGGACAGGAAAACCTCCCAAAAGCAGGAGCTGTTTCAGCCCCAGCTCTGTTGGGTCTTGGACAAGTCACAGAGCCTCTCTGAGTCTTCATTTCCTCATCTGTAAAATGGGACTAATAGCCATACCCGTACATTAGGATTGTTGGGAGTCTGAGAGGAGATGCTGTGTGTACCGTGTTTAGCAAACTGCCTGGCTCAGTGCCTGGTAGGACAAGTGGTAATGATTGTTACATTCACTTGACAGAGAAATAAAGATTAGGTCATTCTGTGGTCAACCAGGGCCTCTGTGCCAGCAGCCATCGTTTGTTATTCCTGGGAAATTCTCAGCTTGCTTGATTTTATATTTATGGCATGTTTCAGCCTCTTTAGCTATTAATGCATTAAAATAGGTTTCATTTTTATTGCAGATAAGTTGCTGACGCTGTAAATCCTCCTCCTTTTCCCTTACACTTTGGGGAGAAGGAAGGGATAATGTGCTGCTGAGAGAAACAGGGACCAGAGGCAAATATCTTGGGGATCAACCATTTGGGGCTCAGAGAAATTTCCACATGTACCCCAGACACTATGCCTGTTCTCTAAAGAGATGGCTTGAGCCGTGTCTGGTGGTGGTTATGTAGGGAGGCTGGTTGGTATTGCTATGATGTGCAAGGTCCAGCCTTCGAAGTGAATGCTGCTCAGTCCATGTTGAAATGTGATGAGAACGGCAGATGCGTCTGTGATTACTAGAAAGAACAGATAAGCTGTGTGCTTTGTGGGTGTTTTTCACTGGGACTTCCATTTTTGGCCAAAATGAGGACTGTGACTGGAAGACCCCTGCTCTTGCAGTCACCAGGCTCCATGCTGGGAGAGAATCCTAAGCAGACCAAAGGGAAATACTAAATAATTGAAGTGGAAAGTTGGTTGCTAAACCTACAGGCCTGGGTGCATATTACATTTCTAGTGAAATACCTTGTTCTCTGGTTAGCTAATAAATAGCTTTAAGTGGCAAGCAAGGACCTTTCCACCTCTCCCTTCATCCATTAAAAATGCTAAGTTTGCAGCATACTCTTGATTTCCATTTCCTAAGTAACATGTTTGGATGGTAGATGAAGTTTTTTTCTGAGAAAGGCTTTCTATTCTCTTCCCTTAAAACATTTGATGCATTTTACAACTTAAACCAAGAAGATTTCTTTCCTGGGAGCTATGTCCAGAATATAAATGCATGATTGGTGTAGTCAACGTCCTCCAAAGAGGCTCAGCAATGATTGTCAGAGTGAACTTGAAGATGAAGTACAGGGAGATATGGCTGGAGGAACAGGGAGCGGAGTGAGGGAAGGAGGAGGGATGTGGCTTGGGGAGAATCGTGCTTTTGAGAAGAGGAAAGGGAGCTGATTCCTCAGGGCTCTGTCTCTCAAACTTCAATCATTCGTTCACTATCTTCATGGTTTTTGTGAAACTATTGACTTAATGCTTTTCTTCCTTAAATCCGTTTTCTATTTAAACTTCAAAACAGGTATATAACATAAGCAATACCACTTTGAAAATGGAGACATGCATCATTTACAATGAATATTTAGAGGGACTTGTTTTAAAAGTTAAAAGCTTCAATAAATTTTTTTTAAATGATTACATTCTGGCTAGATACTATTGCTTGCCTATGGCTATGAGCCTGAGACCTATTCTGCCTGGGCAAAGAAGCGTGATCAATAAGCATAGGAAAGCTTTTGAAGACATTCTAGCACCAACTTCGATTTTTCCCTCGTGGTAATCACAAGGGTGGAAATAAACTTGGAAAGAGAACAGCCTTCTCACTCGGTAATCCAGTATTATTTTATCTTGGGTACCATAGGTAGCCTTCACCCAACCCGTTGAGAAACTTGTCTTAGAATCAATGCTAAGGATCGGTGAGAAGTGTGACTGGAGACTTAATAGCCCGGAAGCAGCTTTAACAGCAACATCTCCAGGGAGAAAGACCTGGCAGGCAATGTGTCCTGAGCCCGTGTGCTTTACGTACAGTGATGTGCACTGGGCCCATCCGCCGTCAGGAGAGGGCCCACAGCCGAACAAGGCCCGAGAAGGAGCATTGCACATCACTTATTCATTAGATGTAAGATCTGACTTTACAGGACACAACACAGGGTTTGCAGTCGTTTGAAATGTTTTAAAAAAATGACAACTCTCATCTTCCCACTGTTACTATGATGAGAATGTTTGATCTCTTTGCTTTCATCAAATTAATTGCCTGTTCCTTCGCAATGGTTTAGATACAAGGGTACAGATACTGTCTGCGAGGATAGACCGGCTCTGAATGGTGATGAGCAGTGGATATACACAGTGATTGCTCCTCTTGGAAAACTGGGAAGGGACGTGTGCATGAAGGTTTACTAACCTTTCCAGGGGTGTAGATTAATTTAGACTGTTTGCTGGGGCTGTTTGAAGTAGCTACAGGAAAATGCAAACATTCTCAGACTTGTGGGAAGGTCAGAGTGTAGCCAAATATTGCCACTTTTAATTGAGCACGGAACACCCAAATGTCGGGACTGAAGGGGACCAGAGGGAGCATCTAATTAAAGGGCCTCATTGTTCAGATGAGGTAACTCAGGGGTCAGAAATGATCTGCCCACGGCCAGGCCATGAAACTCACAGCAGCCTGGGCAGCAGCCACTTATCCTTTCCATTTACATAAGCTAAATAAAAAGTCATCTTAAGGTAATAGAAAACATATCATCTAGCTGAGGAAGAAAAGAGACTGCAAAATTTGAATGGAGATTAGTTAAACGTAATTATTGTTTATGATGAATAGATTTTTTTTGTCCTTCCTGTCTAGACATTTAATAATTTTTTCCTAGAGCTTAGAACATTTGCTTAAGATAGATGTTTAAAAAAGGAGCAAAAAGGTAGCAATGGATGAGCCTGCCTTATTCTTTCCAATGTCCCCTGCCTTTTCCAGGGGAGTTTTTGGAGGGGATGTTTCACACCGAGATGAAGGGCATTTTCTGTGCTCGCTCCTGAAGATTCTGCCATTTGGTGAAAATATGTAGTTCTGAGGCTCCTGGGGGGAAGGAATTGACATTTCTATGAAAGAAATGCCCAAGGCCCTGCCTAAGTGTAGGGACCTTCTGACTTCCCATCCAAAATCTCGGGATTCTGCCGGAGAGACTGAGAAGAATTTCAAAGAAGACACAGGCAACCCAATTGGGCTGCCCTTTTCATCCGAAAGAAACGTAATAGAGAAAGCAAAACCATACACTTTTGACAAAATTAGATGCCATCAACTCAAATGACTGCTTTTGACCGCATTTCCACCAGGCCATTGAAATGGGCTTCCCGCTCAGGGGACATTGATCGTTCTAGTAATAATGGTATTAAGGCCTTGGATTCGTGCAGAGCTCTGCAGTCACAAAAGGCACTCACATATATTACCCGGTCTGCTCCTTGTGGCAACTCTGTACAGGGGTAAGAGTCCCCACCCTCTGGATGAGAAAACTGAGCCCCAGACAGGTTAGCAGACAGCTGACTTGGGGGTTTTGACTGATCTCACTATTATATGATGCTTTCCTTCTATTACTTATAAAAACCCACTTTATTGCAGCAGCCTTTTCCCGCTGCTGGAAGGAAATGGTGTGCTTAGAAATGCAAAGTGCTTAGCGTGTTTTTTGACGGATAGTAAGTGCTTGGCCTGTGATAGCTGCTGTTGAGGAAGAGGCATTGAGGTGCAATAATCATACCACAGGGTTTGGGGTCAGAAAGGCCTGGACTTGAGTCCTGAGCCTGAGCCCGTCTCTGAAAATGCTGTCTGTGAGCCTGGTCCCGGGGCTTAACTTCCCCAAGGACATGAATGCCTACCTCATAAGGTGAAAGTTTGAAACGAGATGCCAATGTGCACGCAGAGCTCGGTAAGGTGCCAGCACTCATAGTTCGGTAAGTGTAGGATCATTATCAAAAGGATGTGCTCAGAGGCCTTATTGTAAGAAAGCAAAGCCATGCCTGCCTTAAAACCAGATTTTAACGTCTCACAGTTTGACACCTTGATATTTAAGTCTCAGGCATTGAAAGGCCTCCTGTCTTTGCCCCTCTCTTGACTTTCTGCCTCTAAGAGAGTTTACTAGAAGGTTCTGTGGACCCGTAGCTTCTGCACGCCACAGCCAGCCTCCGCTGTGGCCAGGTACCTGTATATGATGCACGCCGTGTTCTGGCAGGTACTGCAATTGTTGAGATCTTGGCCGGTTCGATAAAAGTTGCGCCTGCAAGAGAGAGCATTTGCTGGGTAAATCTGTGGGCGAAAGTCCCAGGGGATGCACTCATCCTACTGACTCCCTCCCTCAGTGTGGCACTGCCCCTCCCATTGAGAGCCGTGCCCTGAATCCGCATGGCCATTACAAATACACAAGGAACCATGATAATGGGGCCTCGTGTTTCCAGAGGGTTTATGCATGTTTATGCGCTTTCAAATCTGTGGGTTTCCTCATGCTGACAGCAATCCCAGGGATGAGTCGGCTCTTCTTCACCCTCGTGACAGAAGGGACACTGCGGGACTTTGCAAAGAGTGGAGGGAGGTTGTGAAAACTCCCGACCCCTTAGTCCGGTGCGTGTCTCTCTGGGCCACCCCAGTGCTGTTCTCTCACAAAGCAATGCTGACTCTGATTCCTATCAACAAATGTCACTTAATTTCCTCAGCTCTCTCCTTCCCTTGTGTGGGTGAGCTTCACCATTCCTTCCTCTCAGTCTTCAGGGAGCACATTTTCGAGGGACAAACACGTCACACCTAAATAAATAACTGCCTTCCCCTGCCCAGGCTGGTTCTGAGTCACCCAGGAAAGCACCATGTGCCTTTTTCTCTCTGCAGAACTGTGATCTCATTGCAGTTTCTGCCGACTTGGTCAGCGATGGCCTGGCCCACACCCTGAGACTGGTCACTGGAGGGCAAGGTCAACAGGAAGCTTAGTGGCCACCTCGAGTCCTTTGTGACAAACACACAAATAACCAAAATCCTTTGCAAATGCAGTGATTGGCTTCGAGGCTGGGGTGGGGGCAGTACCTGTGTGCTATCACTTCCCCCCACCATTTATCAACTGGACCCACATCTTACAATCCTTTTAGGCCTGGCTGCTTCCTCGCCCCCTTACCTCTAGTCTGTTGATATTTGGAAACAAAAACAAATAGCCGTGGAAATCCACCAAAGCCTAGAATTGAATGAAGCCCAGTTGGAGTTAAGGGAGGCCATTGCTTACGATTTGGGGAAACAACTGAGATGCAAATATTTTGGAGACATTTTACTAATGGAAACCACTGTGCGCTCTCTGTCTGCTCCTCTCCTGGCAAACGACTTGACCCAATCGTTTTTAACATAAAAAAACACATCACCTTACCCTTCTGTGAGAGCCCGAGCTTTCTCCAAGTCTTGAATTACATTCAGAAGGACTTTAATTTTCTCTTGGTTCGAGTGCAGGGACTCCTCCACGGACTGCAGCCGGCCTTGGAGGTCGCAGAGCTCGCCCCGGGCCAGGTGGATCTGGTTAAGCTCCCTGTTGCTCTGAAGTTTGGTCTCCCTCCTTGGACGAGAGGATGGGAGGTGATCGTTTCCTGGACAGTTTCGAAACTCCAGGGTGTCCGACTGGGTGGGGTTCCTTGTGGTCCGCTCCTGACACGCAGGGGCAGGTCTGGATGGGTGATTAGGTTTGAGTGGTGCCGGGTCCTGGTGATGGCTGCTCGATGACGAACAGTCCGAAGCCCCTCCTGGATGGGCTGGCTGTCCGTGGGAGCCTGGTGAGGGGGAGCCATGAGTCCGTGGAGGCGAGGGGACACACGCTTCCTTTGACAGCAATGACAGTGGGTCAAAGTCTGTGTCACCAGAGTTGTCTTTGGGCAAAAGCAATTCAGGTTTAAGTTTCCCTGTGCCTGGCATGGGGTTGGCACCGCTGGTGGCATTCAAGCAGGAGGGGGGTCTCTCTGAATCTGACGACAGCCCTCTTTGTCCGTCACCCGGACACGGGTCCACCAGTGGGTGGACGGAGTTGCTTATCTCCGCGGACCTGTCTTGGCTGAGAGCGAGCTCCCCAGTCGCCCAGGTCGGGCTGTGACAGATATCCTCTGGGACCTGAATGGCAGCGGTTGCTTTCTCCGAGGCTCTCCCGGCTCCTGCTTCCAGGCATATGCTCACCGGCCCGTTGCTCTGCACCTTGGACATTCGAGGGAGAAACGGGTGGGACACCTGGACCCTTCGAGGCCTGTCCTCCAGATGCTGAGCCAGCCGCAAGCAGGCGAGGTCGGAAGCCACTGTGTCCTGTTCCGAGAGGTTGCCGTTGACCTGGATGGCACTTTGGAATGCTGCTGGCATTTCCACCAGGGACTTACTGGCTGTGAGTCTCTTCCTCTTGAAGATCGGGAAATGCTTCCTGAGACTGGGGGAGGTTTGGATCGCCATGTTCCGAAAGCCCCCTGCCTTCTGGGACCTGGGGAAGGAGAGGGAGTAGGCGGGGAGGGGATGGTGTCTGGGGGCTTGGGTCATGCCCATCACAGCCGGGTCCTCGGTCGTGTGGACGTCACCCCCAGCCAGGCCGGGCGGGGGCTTGCCGGTCCCATCTTCCTTGAACCGCACCTGCTGAGACTTGCTGCGGCGGTGGTGCGGCTGCTTCGCCAACGCCACCGACTCCAGGCTGTTCCGCTTCAGAAGCACCGGGCGCATTTTTGTATTTTGCTGGGCCATTGAGCCTCAGTTGGCAGGACTGGGACCGTACACGTGTCCTGGGCACATGTCCTTAGGTCTTGGGAGCAGCCTCCGGTGCTGGCATCTCAGACACAGACACCTGCCAGCCGAGATGGAGCGGCCCTTTCCTCGGCGCTGAGGAGGCCGTGTGGGCCATCCCCAGCCGGTGGCTTCCGCTTGGGAGCTATCCGCAATGCTTCTCCTGCAGTTACAATATTATCTCATTGCGGCGATAATTGCCACTTAGATAAACAATGAGTTAGGCTAATTATTAAACATCCGATATACCAAGAGAGCTGGTGGGCTGTTTATCAAAGAGAGGCTGGCAGGCGGCTCCGATCCTGGGAAAAGCTTGCCGCCTTGAACAAAAAGACAACAAAAGTACCATTTAGGGGATAGCGCCAGACTCCTGATGTGTGAATTCCAAAGGAGACCTGCTATGTCTGGAACAGGCGGCTTCCCTTCCCGGAGCATCAGTTTCCAGTGTAAAACTACCAGGCACTTACACACATCTTCTGGCCAGGGCATGTAAGCAGGCGGTGAAATCAGGGGCCTGGGGGTCAGCTTCTTTGATAACCCATGATGCTCCTAAGGGAGCCGCCCCATTTCTGTCAATCACAGATCCCACCCTCAGAGCCATTGTGTCCTTTCATACTCTGCCCCTTTCCTGCAGCCTGGGACGCGTGTCTTCCTAAACAGCCTCACAAAACCCGGTGGGGTGTGACCAGGACAGGTGTGAGGCATCTGAAGCCATGCAGAGCGCAGAGTCCCTGTCGTGGTTCACACGCGGCTCAAGTTCATAGGTGGGCAAGTGATCCTCGGCTGTAGCCTCTGGGAATCGCAGCTGAGAAAGGCTGGCCCTTGGCCCTGGGGACTGGGGGTCTGAGGCTTGGCTGTCGTTGCCAGCGGGCAAGGAGAGTCTGAAAGGGAAGAGACCACAACTGAGAATGCAGTTCCCGAGGACCTGGGATTCTCTCCAAATTCCATCCACCCAGCGGGTGCTGCTGAGTGGAGGGTCTAGGAGCAAGTCAGTCACGCTGTCCTTCCTTCCGTTCCCCTGTCACCTTGTGGCTGCAGGGCCTCAGCACTAAATGCCCATCTGCCCGGGTCATTTCCTCCTTCACTCCTGGACATCACTAGCCAACTCCTATTCATCCCTGAAGTCCCAGCTTAAATGTTACTTCCTCGGGGAGCCTTCCCAATGACTCCTCCCTCATGTACACCTCTATGCTAGACCATTACACCTTCCCATCACATACTTCATAACACCTATTGCAGCTGTCCTTAAATAATCATTTGTGTGTAATCATTTGATGTGCGTATTCATTTGATGTGCTGCTCCCCTGTAAGCTCCAGGGTGGCAGGGCCAGAGCCCTCTTGGGTATTCCCAGCCCCCCTTGGGCTCATTGTGGGTGCTTCATGGGTGTGTGTTCATAGAGTGGATGGCTGGATGAAGGTGCTTTGGAAGCAAAGGAGAGCCCCGGCACCGGGGTGCTAGGATCCCCTGCCAGGGCAAGAGGACAGTGAGCTCTCTCTGCTATGACTATAGCATTTACTTGGGGACAAGATCTTCCCTAATGTCTTCATTTTTTAAATTGTTTTTCAGGAGATAAATGTGCATAAAATTCTCTTTGGGAAGTGTGCCTTGTAACAATAACAGTTGCCATTTATTGAACACTTATATTTACCGTGCTGAGGGCTTTCCATGCATTAATCATAACAACTCATTTACTGAGAACTCACTAATGTGCCCGGTGCTGCTCCAAGCTGGAACTCATTCATTCCCTCCCCTGTAGAGGTGGAAACTATCATTATCTGTCATTATCCCCCTTTTACAGTTGGAGAAACTAAGGCCCAGAAAGGTTAAGTAACTTGCCCAAGGACAATGCAGCTAGTGGTAGGGTCAAGATCTGAACTGGTACAGTCTGGTACCCCAGTCTGGGCTCTTAACCTCTACACTTCATTGCCTTTTCATTATTGCATTATCTCACTTAATCCTTACAACAAAACCTTTCAGGTGTCCGGATTCTTATTGAACTGATGGGGAAACTGAGGCTCAGACAGAATAAGTACTCAGTGGAGGAACTGAAATATGAACCCAGATATCTGCGACTCCAAAGCTTGGGTTCTTGGCTATGAGTTGATGACTTTGTCCCCTTGGAATCTGCCCTGAGTGCAGACAGATGATATCAGTGATTTGAGAAATGAGGTGGAAGGCCCCTGAAGGCCTAGAGAGATGCAAGGGACCATCCCCTACATGGCAAAGTGAACCTACTCGCTACAAGTTCAAGGGATCACACTGGGGTCAGACAAGTTGGAAGCATGCCTGGGTTGACCAAAGGTTTTTAAAGGAAAATGAATGTCATAAAATAGCGCACATTCTGTCTATGGTCCTCAGTCTTAGAGTCTTCTTCTTTCTCCAGGGAATACTAGGTAATGACCAGGGCAATTTCAGCTTTCCCTGCTCCCGGGTCCCTTGAGAAGGATCAACTAACCCAGCGAGGTGGGGCAGTGAGTGGACGGGCCTGAAAGAGAACAGCACCCATCTATAATGCAAATGACTTGTCAGCTTGTCATGAGGCCCTGCTACTCCTCTTGTGCTGCAGAGCCTAGATACTTATTTGTCTACTTTTGTGGATTTATTTAGGTAATTGCCCTCACCTTTTCCCTCTCCTTACCTGTTCATTAGTGTTTTGTTCTGGTAAAGTTAACTCACTTCGACTACAGTGATCTGAAGCTGGTTTTCATAAGCTAATGTTTAGTGAACATTGGTTATGTGCTAGGCATTGTGATAGCTGTTTTTCATTTACTTTCTTCTTTAATCCTTGTGACAATCATAGAGGCAGGTACTATCAGCATCTCTTTTTATAAATCAGGAAACTGAGGCACAGGAGGTTAAGTAATTCGCCCCAAGTCATTCACCTGGTAAGTGCCAGAGCTGACATTTGAACTCGAGGAATGACCCTGTGCCCAGGCTCCTGACCACTGCACTTCCTCCTGCCTCCTCCAGGACCTCCAGGACGGGAAAGGGACTTCTGGTGCAAAGCTGTCAGGCAGGTTTCAAAGTCCCTCCCCACTTTCCTTCTGGAAGTCAGCCATTATTCTGATTTCAGCCCTGCTTTTTCTCCAGGAATTTATGTATCCTTGAGATGTTTTCTTTTGAGCTTCAAAAACAGTTGGTTTTCTATTTTTAAAGATATTACATGTGCATTGCAAACATTCAAATAATGAATTAACAAAAAAGGAAGAAAAAAAATCGTCTGAAATCTCACCATCCATAAAGAGCCACTCTGTATGCATGCGATTCAGGTCACCAGACACGCACATTGCACACCCATGCAGGCTCACGGGAAACCTTTAAAAAAACTGAACAGCATGGAGAACGTTTTATAGTATGGCTAATAGATTCACACCCTCCTTTTAAGTAGGCGAATCAAACTCTGTTGTCTAGTTATACCATGATTTTTTAAAATGCTATCCTTTTGTGGCTATTAGGTTGTTTCCAGATATTTGGTATTATGAATAATCCTGTAAGTAACATTTTTTTTGGTGAACCTTGGAGTAAATTCCTAGAAGAAGAATTAGTGGGTTAAAGTACCCATACACTTTACACTTTGTTGATATTATCGCTTTTCCTTCCAGAAAGTTCTAATGTGTAACCCCACTATTACTGCATGAAACACCTCTTTACCAGCGTCTCTTTGTCACTGTGTTTGGTCATTTTCTGATGACTTTTTTCATCATTGCCAATAAAATGGGAGAACAATTTCTTATTATGCAATTTATTTAAAATTTGGCATTTTTCTATATATGTATTGGTTTTACACTACCTTTGGTACGCGTAAAGAATGAAGTTAAACGTGCTCATTTGAACAATTAAGTGAATATGGAAACTCTGTGTCTTAGACATAACCTAGGAAGCATAGTAAATATGACAATTTTCACTTTAAAAGTTTCATATTTATATTCCAATTCTTCTGCCCCACTGCCCACCAGGACCTTTGCACAGACGTGTTCTGGGGAGTACACCTGGCTAAAGGGAATAGCCTTTTATAGGCCTCAGGTCTCACAGGCTCCCAGCTCACCACTAATTGATAGGGGGTTCCCTGGGCCTTGGTGGTTAGGGCTTAATTAACATCCTGGCCAGAGCCCAGAATCGTTCCCCGGAGGTGGTTGTGGCAGCCCGTTGAACACCGTGGCTGGGAGTTATTGCTGATCTTTTTATTGTTATTGCCGTGACATTTTATTCTCTCCTCCCTTGATTGTTGACTTATTGAACACCAGCAACTATTTATGTTCCAACCATGAACTATGCGTGGTCCATGTTGGATGGTTCTCATGAAATCATGTCCATTTGGTAGCTACCAAAACATTAAGCACTATCTCTGTAGGGCATAAACTTTGGACTTCCTCTGGAGTAGATTCCCAGCTCTCTGCTGTGGCTTTTAGGCTCTACAGTGAAAGATTGAGTACATAGGTGTTAGCCTATGTTTGACTTGACTAGCATCTTCCACTTCCTGACTGTTGGCCTGGAACAAGTGCCTTGGCCTTTGTAAAACCACATAGAGTTGTTGTGAGAATTAAATCAGATCATCTACATAACATGGCCAGCATGGTCCATGTCAGCTCATCAGATAGAACCCAACGGGGACCATGAAGTACTCATGAGAGTATCTGCTCCTTGCACTTGCCCTCTGGAGAGTAAACTGGGGGTACATTTTCAGGATGCAGTGTGCCAGGATGGCATTCCCAGGAATGCTGCCCTTCTCCCTGCCTGTCCATACTTCATGTACCACATTGACATTGAGCTTACCTCCCTGAACAATGATTATCTGCTGACCTTCAGCCTCCTCAACTAGACTGCAAGCTCCTGAGGGCAGACACTGGTCACAGTCCACTGTGAACCCCTGGCCCTTACACCCATCTTGATACAGAGCCCGTGTTAAGTGAACTCTTGTCAAAGGAGTGAATATAATCCCCTATTACCTATTTGCCTTAGCTTCTATAGCATGGAATAGTTGCATAGCTGGCATGGAATACATATTTGTGTAACTAATTATTAAATGACAAATTAATTCATTTCCAACTTACTTTCTCTTTCAAAGATATAGAATCGCTAGGTCTCTAGGATAAATGAAATATGTCTGTCATTTAGTTATTATGTCCATGACTCATTGAGTTTGGTGAAACCATATTGAGAAGCCGCTATGACCTGGGCGCTGTGATAAACATGGTGGAGATGACAGAAATGAATAAGGCCTGAGTCCTATTGCAGCACTAAGAAGGGGCCTTGAAGAGTCACCTCAAATAGAACCAGTACCTGGAAGGTGGTGCATAATGCTGTACAGAGTAGGGGATGGCGCGGATGGAGGAAGCTACATGATTCATCTCGTGTTCAGATCCGGCTTCAAGCATCAGTGGCACTTACATTTTAAATGGGATTTACGCTTCAGCCTTTACTCCAGGAGTCAGCATTTTTTTTCTCTAAAGGGCCAGATAGTAAATATTTTCAGCTTTTCTGGCCTTACGGTCTCTGTCACAACTATTCAACTCTGTGTGTGGCAAGAATGTAGCCACAGACAATATGACAACAAATGGCTGTGACTGTATTCTAATAAAACTTCATCTATAAAACGGGCACCAGACCAGATCTGGCCGGGGGTCGGGGTGGGGGTGGGGGCAGGCACAGCTCGCCAACCCCTGCTCTGGGCAATGGTTTCTGAGCGGGAGAAACCTGATTAGGTTTTTGTTTTTCAGGGGAAGCTCTATTTGCTGACACCTTGCTATCTCCTTTCTCCTTCTGTACTTCAAGTCAGTAATAATAACCCTGCCTATTTATATCACACTTTACAACATATGAAGCATTTTCAAATTCCTTGTAATCCCTACTAAGCAAGCTGGGAAGCTTTACCCCGGTTTT